AAACTCATTATAGCAATTGACTTGATCCGATTCTAAGAAGCTCAAATGTTCTGAGCCGCATATTTAGGACAGATAAGGTGGTCGACTGAGCTGATTAATTTGATCGCCGTAAATGAATTTGTTAAAAGGTGTTGAAGCGACAATAGGCTAATCATTGAACCATTGATAAAGTTAAATATCTTCACACCCCGGGGACAATCAGGTATATTAAATATAGATATGATATTCTTATAATTGTTAGAATAACAATCAAGATACTATCAAGATATCACACTTACAAATTGCTTGGTGATCTTTAAATCAAACCCCCAGTTTATCTTTGACTTAAAACACAGTAAACATAAAGCTAACTGGACATTTTTAAATACTTATATGGATTATACAGTTTACCAAAATAGGACAGCAAATTCAAAATTACCATATCATTCATTATGCAATATCATGGTTAACAACATTAAATCCAAAACCAGTTTGCTTTAATATCATATGCGTAGGTGATAACATAACAATCTGATGGACAAAAATGACATTATGAAATTTTGAAAATTCCTGAGACAAAATTCAAAAATAAAATATAAAATTGTAAGATTTATTATAAAATATGTGGATATATTCAGTAGATTTTAAAAGGTTTGGTTCAGATATTTTTATTCATTAAATATAGTACAGAATGATATAAAGAATGGCGGTGTAGAAATATTGACATATACAATATTGACTCTAGCCAGGACCCGGCCAATTTCTACACAGAAATAAAGAAAATACTCATAAAGTTGTATTAGAATAGGGATGAAAATGGAGATTTTTTAGTCTTGTCTTAACGTATAAACGTTATATTTATCAACCATTGTAGATAGATTTCCTTTTATATTTTTGTAAAAGTCAATGGATACATGAACATGTTTTATTCTGGACACACGCAAACCAAAAAAAAATATAGCCTTTTTAATGTTAGCGTCAGAATCCTGAGTCCTAGAAAATATAACCAACCTCTGCTCAATGTCGGTGTTTATCAGCATCCAAAATATGTTGTCCTTAGAGAAAAATATTAGAGTAAGGAGATGGTCATTTAGGTTTATTTATTAGATTGATAAAGGCTGAAACAAAATTCCTCGAAAAGGAATATGAATATCCATAATATAAATTCAAGATCTGCTATAAAAATGTTCTACATTTCTTCCGTTCGAAGACGGTTCACCTTACAGAGAGACGCTGTGACCTAACCGGCATCGATTTCTCATTAAGTAATCATCATTTTATAAAACAATATTATAACTTGTATGAGCAATCATTAAAAATTTATCGCTGTTTATAGATTTTAAAAAGGCGTTTGACTCAGTAGGGGAGAAATACAAATTATTGAATTTTGCATTAGTATCAAACAGATAGGTGCCGTCGATGAAGACAAATATTTCTCTATCAATGAAGGCGAATCTGTGGTCGGAAATGAAATGAATGCATACTTTGGAAATCTGCATGTTATCTGACTAGCCAGATTTATTCTGATAATATAAATTATAAACACAGATACAATTTATTTAATTCTTCTGTTTTGAATCCCTCCTTAAAATACAGGATGGACGAAGTATTAGATACAAAAATTATATTTTAGCGAATTCGTTTTATCTTCACGTACAACCCCAAGTGACAATATTATATACAAACCGCGGATTTATTAATTTACTTTCCCATTCACTATAAACATTCTTCAAACATTGGTAGCTCTTTACAACTTTTAGAAATTCTACTCTCTAATTTTAGATCAACCAGCGAATCAAACATTGATATTTACAAAATATGAATTTGCAAAAAAACGACTAATTTACAATATATTTACATTTTTACATGCCCTTATTACATGAATGACTTGAAAGACTATTTTATTTTAATATTTGATTTAAGTTGAATATTCCCATAATGTATAGCCCTATATTGACATTAGAATAGAATTCAATTTATTTATTTTTTATTAAATTGCAAAATTTGATGAAAAAAATGAAAACAAAATGAAATAGAGTTTTACATCGCCTTGTATAGAATAATACAAAGATGCTATCAATACAGAATATGAACTTCTATCTGTTAATGAAGTCAAAAAAAATCCGACGTCTATAATTAAAACAAATGATTTATTTTTGGAATAACGTTGCCCTGAAGGAAATTCTAGCCGCTTTCCAGTTTTTATCCCTTCGGACGAGAGGTCATTAATCTAATGATGCAACAAGACAAATACAAGACGCAGTTCCTGGCAATTTCCAGACAATGTTCTAGTCTTTCCTATATTATTCCTATTATTATCATGGTTTTTTTTTTGGTTTTTTGTACGATTTCGATTTTAGCCAATTAGTTGCTTCATTAAGATATGAACTAATCAGAGCTGGGAGGGTTAACTAATTCAAAATTAGGAAAAAATCTGAATTTTCAATTCTTAGTAACTATAGGAAAAGGAGCTGGGAATTTGTCAAAATATTTGAAATAATATATTCAATTCGCCATGTTAAATTTATTCATTATTTGATGATTTATGAAAATAGTGCCAGCAATATGATTTACACGTTAACCAAAGTCTTGGGAAAACATCCCAAAAATATACATTTTTAATTTTGGTTAAATTGTTTGATAATCTCCATCTAAATATTTAAGAATCATACGAGCTCTGTGATCGTGCATTTTTCAATTGTTACATGGTTTCTATTTTCGATTTTGCCCAATTAGTTGAAATTATCAGACAAGTTTAGAAACTGGTTATTATTATAAAAAAGATTGTATTTAATATGACAGCAGTAATCGTTTAATTCTATACAGGTGCGTGGACTCGTTTCACATTTAAGGTTCAGCGCTTAACTATATGAGGCCAGGAGATAACAAAACGATAGAGCTAGCGATGGCTAGGCGCTAATAGTTATTGACAAACATATTATCGGCTCGAGTGAAAAATGTAAATATCATTTTCATGCCTGGTCGCTTGTTTTGTCAGTCTGTACATAGCTTGAAGGATACGGGAATTTATAGAAGAATATCCTACCATGTCATCTTCGTGGTAATTGTATATCGTATTGAATACAAGCTAGTACAGTATTATCAAATCAATTAGGGCTGTAAATAAGGGGCTCTTTTACAATACATAGAAAACTTGGTGACACTTGAAACGAAAAAATCGACGAACTCCTGAGCTTTTCTTATTCTGTCATTCAATGATATATTTCTCTCCGTAACGGCTTTGTATGAAGAATAAAATAGAATAAAACTGGCCTTTCTTCCCAACATCGATCCATCACATTGAAACACGTTGATAGCAATGAAGTTTCTCACTCAGTGAAACAATGCGATATTGATGATAGTAATAATTGGTTATTAACGATATCGGGAGGTGTATTAAACCAGTAAAATATCTTGTGGAATTAATAATTCTATAGATTTATCAATATGATGGTAATTAATTGCTTGGTTAATGATCGTAGGGTGTGAAATTAATTTACCTTTTAAATCAACAACAAAGTAGAATTTTTTATATTGAATTTTACGATGTCATCTGAAACTCTCCATTCGTCCGTGAGGTAAATAGGTATGACACGGAGTTTTATAGAACTTACACAGGGACTATGACAATCCATTGTTTTTTTAACTTAACGTTTGTCCCTAGAGGACAATGAGCAGCACAACTGCAGCATCTTTAGTATGGACATTTACAACCTTTTGTCCTGCATTAAAAAGATCTCTTTTTTCAACAACTTCAAATACATTCTCTGTCTACATTATAAGCACATTCAGGTGTAAAAAGGACGTAAAACTCGATTTATTTCAAATACCATATTATATATAATTTAAAAAAAAATTCAAATATATGGTATAATGACTAGGTGATGACTGGAAATGATAAAAATATGAATTCCTTAATTCTCTATAATATGTTTTTGGCAGCTAAAATTATTTTAAACCAGAAAGAGAGAAATTGTTTATCAAGCGAGATATATCTTGAGTTATATATAATAAACTCTACAGTAAATTAAAATACACTTTCTGTTTGATAAATATTGAGCTTCACACACCTGTGTTTAATAGATTAACCCTACCCAGTTCGTACTAGTAATTATTTACACCTCTTTATTAACCCTTTGTCCGGCAATTCGTAGAAAATTGGCGGGTGTTTGGTTATCGGTGATTTCTGGTCTGTTACAGCCATTATAGGATGTTTGTAGGAAAGATTAAGCGAAAGCATGTAAGCAGCCCGGGGAGGTATCTGTTGGCTACAATACAGCAATTACGGTAGTTGGGTTATTCAGCCATTGTGTGCCTATTGTACCAGTGAAACGGGATTACATTAATCGCTTCTAGTAATTTCAACAATTGGATTAATAATGAGGCACACGTGTTCGATATTAAGAAAAAGAATTTCTTAAAGAATTTTAATGCTACACTTTCAATATTTATATTAAGTTTTTATTTCTTATTCAATAATTTTTTTGAATGAAATGTATTCAATAGATTCTTACGTTGACACGAGCATTGAATAACTGTCACCATAGACAACATTTGTAAATCGAAAAGAAAATTCTTCATTGACAATTTAAGACGGGGCATTCTTTGAAATGTAAAAATATGTTCATTGAAATTAGTATCTCATGTTTGTCTTCAATTCAGTTTTTAAATATTTTCAAACGTTTTGATTTTTGATATCTTGATATTGACCATGTTATGATTTTAATGTTTTATGATATTGTACAATCAAACTTATATTAAGCAAGCGGTCAGAGAATTTCTCAAAATTGGTTGCTTGGTTGTATGTTGTTGGATTTTGTTTTTGTGATGTAGACTTGCGACTCAGCACTGTTGTTCTTTTTTTTTAAAAAAGAGATTTTAATCAAATTCCATTTGTCATTTCAGTCCCCCAGTTGACGATGAACCCACGATCCTGTGCTATGCCATCTATGTCCATGCAATCAAGTATGATGGGAGCCGACCAGTATAATTATAAAGCAGGCATGCAGTTTCCTCTAACTCAAAGACGAAAAAGACGTGTCCTATTTTCTCAGGCGCAAGTATACGAACTTGAAAGACGCTTTAAACAACAAAAATATTTATCCGCGCCTGAAAGAGAACATTTGTCCAGCATGATAAATTTGACCCCGACTCAGGTCAAAATATGGTTCCAAAATCATCGATACAAACACAAGAGAATGTCCAAAGACAAGGAAAAGTCCGACCAGAAATCAGAATCCTCGGAACGACAGAGCAGCTCAAATAATCAGTCTCATAACCACAGCTCGAGCTCTTCCGGAAGCGGAAGTTCGAATCCCTCACCACGAAGAGTTGCGGTCCCTGTTTTAGTAAAAGATGGTAAACCATGCAGTAATTCCAATGAAAATAACTCCAGTCACCAAACTCACTCTACTACAACAGTTAGTCATAGTCATAGCACCAACTCTACAAACCAATCTCCATCTTCCATGCATTCATCTTGCGCTGTGTCCTCAGTGAAAAATTTGGCTCATGTCGGCTCTCTGGGATCACCAACGCTTTCAGAAATTTCTGGAACATTAGCAGGGAATAGTGTCAATTCACAAAACTCTTTATCTCATAATATTTTATCTAATGGACTGGGATATGTGTCCACTAGTATGAACGGATCGACGCTGTCATCTTCACCGTATAACCTAATGAACGGCAGAACCTGGTAATTCGCATTGCAAATTTGGATTCAATCTAGATTATAAAATATTGTGTGAACTAGGATAAGTGAACCACTACACTGGATTTGTTTAGTTCTTATATGTGTGTAAACTAAAAACCATGAAAACATTTTATTTGCAACTAGTCTTTGGTGACGCCCATAAAACGTTCTGATACGTATGTGTGACGTTTGTTTCATTGGTCTTGTTCAAATTTGTACTCGGCAATTAAAACGAAACGAAACAAGATTAGAAAAGACTGTAAGTTCGTTTCATTTTACCTCGTTTTGTTTTTAGTGATGGTTATTTTAAAGTTTTAAAGTGTTTATCTGAATGTGCTATGTATTATCTGTTGTGTGTTATCGGGACACACCGTGAAGAGATTTCAGTCGAATCTACAGTGTATGACAGACAGGTAGCTTGATAATCAATCTAAACCACTCAACTATTATCTTAACTCGGGTTTTATTGTTTGGATTAGAAAATATTCAGTTAAAGATTAAATAATATCTCATCATTATACAAGGTCGCTAATAATTTTCAAATTTCAATGTCGCCAATCAGAAAGTACTTACAATATCTCTTTAACCCCCTGTATACCGATTTTATTAACTGAAATTTCTTTCAACTTTAACCCCTATTTAAAATCAACCATAGCAATGTCTCAATTTTACATTTTTCAACGTAGTAGATATAAATCAAAATTCATTGAAAAGAATTCAAATTTTAAGTTCATGATATTTTGCTTAATTTCAAATTCAAGTTTATATACTCTCGACTTCAAATATTCTGATATAAGATAATGTGGGCTCAATAACCTAATATAGATAGATAATTTTGCCCGTCGAATATTTCCGTAAATGCATTCCATAAACATTTTTTTTTTCATAGTGTTGATTTTACAGAACAAATTCCAAACCTTATTTTCCAAGTTAAAAATACATTCCAAGATATGTTTAACAAATAAAATAAAAAAATTCAGTATATTACTTATTTTTAAGAATATTTTTAGTCACTTTTAATCTTGCCAAATTTTTATTTTCATCATTATTCGTAATTAGCTTATAATTTTAATTGTGCTATTTCTAATTGTTCTTAATCTAAAATCACAATTCAGGACAAATCAGAATTGAGAATAAAATCAAGCTTTACTTTATATTTTTTTTTTACGGTTACCTGTCTTCAAATTTATACAGCGTTCAAAGTATTTTTGGCTGATTTCTAATTTGGTTGACATTTTCTTGGCAGAATAAAATAATTTAATTTAATTTCGTTTGATATGATAATCTGTTTAAATTTCTCAGTGATAGCCTGCTGGAAGAATGAGAGGTGCATTAACTAAAATTTAATTTCGTCTTCCTGGCTATGTTTTTAAAATTTCCGAAATTAAGAAAAATGTTATTGTATATTACAATTCATTTCAAAATAAAATGACACTGTATTTTCCTGCATGTAATCAGCTGGTTACTCCGCTCTTTTCTGCCGTATTGAAAATATTTCGTTTCATAAAATTTACGATTTTGGAATTTAGAGTTAGTTGTATCCATCTAAATCGTCTGTAGTTTTCTGACCAACTAACGAGTCGGTATGTTTCAACTCCAGATAATATATGACCAACACAAGCCAGCTACAGGTTGAAGATGATCGCAATTTACTGATTTACCTTATGAAGGGCGGTGTTCTGATTATCGTGACTAATTTGAGGGGCGGTGTCTATGTTGTGGATGATGTCTATAAAATTTAGGTTCTGTATTGTTTCTGTATCATGATATTTATGACTACCTGAGAGCGAAGACAGATGCCGACTCATTAGTGTCAATATTATTCAGCCTAAAATTCAGGTGGCATATATACACATTTAGACAAATTTATGACCACTTCTGTCGGAGGGTTGTAAAATTATAAAATCTACTTGTTTACGAAACGAAATATATTCAGTTATTCCTTGTGCATTTACAAGCCATTATATTCTAAGTTTATAGTTCTAATAAAAGCCAAAATACAATTTTATATCAAGGTTTGCGTTAGTATTTTAATTTGGTTTATTTGAAGCAAGTAGACAGTTAATATTTCCCGTATAATTTTATGTTTATATGTAATACAGCAACCAATATTCTTCTGTAAAAAATATATTTCTTTCTTTTAAGTTAACCGGTGAATTGACAAATTCCAAACAATCAATATAGCATATTCTCAATTTCGTTTTTCTTTTCATATCTCAACATTTTGTACGATATACGTGTACGATGCATCGACAAAAAACCGAAACGAAAGCGAAATTGTGGTTAAGAAATGTTTTCTTGTGCTCTGTACTTACTTGAAATATTAAGATATTATTTATTTACTTTACTTATCGTCTTAATATTGTTCTTAATTTCTGAAATTTGAAGTTGTTAAAATAATTCATTTTGACATGTGAAAAATTCAATTTCAGTTTCTCGATAATAGAATAAAATTAAGTATGAAATTTTAACTGTTTTATTTATGAATTTTGCATTCCAATTTTTATTTGTTTTATTTATAAATTCAGTTTTGAAACTGCCCCACCATCTTGTTTCAAGGATGGCTGTCTATATTATTATCATGTTTATATATAATTCATATTTTGTCTATATTTCGTATTAAGGTTCATTGTATTTTAAAATTCACTCAATCTGGTCAAAAACAGCTCTATATTTTTCATTTCATGATTATATTACGTGAGTTACTTCACTCATACCATAATCTTAAGATATTTATGAGAAAGCAAGGTTTAAATATTTAACAAATCAAAAGGGTTCTTCAGTAAGAGTTTAACCAATACCTGTGGGTAATTGTTGGAAATTCATTATTGAACATTATGAACAACTTTTTCATTTTCACAATGGTGATTTTAGATTGAGATTGAGTGAAGTAGCGTAGAAAACATACACGGAACAAATTATCTAGAGCTGTATTTTAACCAGCTTGGATTCCTGTGAACATTGTGTTAAATTCTAGGTTATCCATCGTTTATCATCAGTATATGTGTTAAATAAATTTTGATATCTGAAATTTATCTGTATTTTATCTATTTTTCTAACCTCAGAGTTTACGTTGATCTTCAGTGGATTTATTTAGGGCTGGTGAACTGTCCAGAGGAAATACCTTAACATTTGACCATATGACGCATTTATTTTTGGGAAAAAGGACTCTACCTAATAGACTGAATTTCTATCAAGAAATGCTTAGCGGTGGAAATCTTTCTCCACGTGACACATCTTCTTGAGAAAAAGGGTCATTCAATCAAACACCAACTAACATTTTGGTAATGAATAACATAACATATGGCCTTGAAGATTTAGATGACCAACAGGGATGGGGTCCAGATTATCTAAATCTCTGGCCATGCCATTGTTCATTCTGCAAAAGCCACCGAAAACCTAAGATCTAGCCCAATCCACCACAAACTTAAATACGCTGAGCTAGTATCTTGAACAGTAAATAATTGATCATGAAGACATGAATTTAATGAAGTTGGAGTCAGGATGATAACTAGTTAAATAAAATATTGAAATGATAAATAATTAATCTCTGTCAATACTTAACGATTTTCACTCTGTAACAAGATCTAGAAAACTCTTCTGACCACTGGCGAGTTCCAGTTCTTCTATAGAAGGTTATTTCCTATAACACCAAATATAGGGTAAATACACTAAAACAATATCTATAATTATTAGGGTTAAATACATAATGCTTCATACCATATTGTACATGGTATAATCTGAAATGGTTTATAACTTTTTAAGCATCCAGCAAACCGAACTACATTCTTCAAATAACATAACACAAATGCTTGGGCTGGCAACTAGGTGTTGTTACTTCTGGATTACAAATCACCCGTTATACCTCAACCCTGATGAATAGACTTATATAAAATCTGATGGTTCTAAACGCTTCTGAACAAATGACTAGACGAGGTACACCAAGCAGTACAAAATAATATTTGATGGAACAATTTTAACATAAACCAAGGAATCTTAATGTGCACCATCTTTATTTTGGAATGTTCCGCTACTTATCATGAAGGTCGACGACGGCAGCATAGTCATCACCAATCTCGTATTCGAATCCTCCCGATATATTGATGAACTATCAAGACAAATCGCAAGTCTAAAACAAGTTCAGAAACATGTCTATTTCTTGAGAACTGGGAATTTTCTTTTATTGAAATACAGATTTAGTTTTTATATTCGATGTAAGGGCCACCAATTAGCGTGTTTCAAAACAACTTAAAATGCTTTTATAAGCGGAAATGGTCTAGTTGCCGGCCATGACAGTCTCGGGCTGAATGTCTGAGTTTGATGGACGTTAATAAAGGTGATTTGTAGTTATAAATCGACCAAGAAGAGGTTATTTTTAAATTTGTATCTGATTGGAGATTTAAAATGTTCTAGACAGACGTCAAATACAGACAATTAATACTATTCAATGTTAAAACTCAAATTTCATCAACAAGAAACGAATTTCTTCGTCTTTCACTTACAACTTTTCACTGATGTATACTTTGTTCTTGGTCTGCAAAGATTCCCATATGTACGATTTCTTCAAAATAGATAAGCATTATTTTATATAGAATTTAGAATTGGACTGCATCATTGGATGAATATGCGATATACTTCTCCTGGATTTTACTTTATACAACGTTTCGACAAATTACA